GAATTCCCAGCACCACATACACACACACAAAATATACATATATATATACATATATATATATAAATAAAACACAAACAATAAAACAGGACATGAATATTGAATTCTGGCAAGTCTTTCTGACACAGACTTTTTCCCTTAACCTCTTAAAACCAAGAATCACATTAGACTTCCTAAAATGATTCAAAAGAATGAGACCCACTTGCTTTTATGGCATTATTTTTTCATTTGGTTATTTGGGATTTTTGTATCATTATTCTTAAATGAGACTGAGTGTGTGTATATTTTATTTTCATCTTTGTCAGGGTTAGCATTCCATATTATAACAATTTCCCAAGAAAAAAAGATGTTTTGAAGTTTTACTTTACTCTTTACTTAATGTGGAAATTAATTAAACAGCATTAAATTACTTATTTCTTGAAGGTCTGATATAATTTCACAGTAAAACCAAAGCTTTCATTTTGTCAGAGGAGGGTGGGAGAAATGAGGTGAAGACATTTCTTTTTTTAATTTTTATTTTTTAGTTGTAGTTGGACACAATACCTTTATTGTATTTATTTATTTTTATGTGGCACTGAGGATTGAACCCAGTGCCTCGAACATGCTAGGCGAGTACTCTACTGCTGAGCCACAACCCCAGACTCAAATTTGTTTTCTTTTATGGTGCTTTTTTCCTCAGACTTCTTTTGGAGACAATCTGGCAATCGTGAATTTAATTCAGATTCTCATACTTTTTATAATTATTTCAGTATCTTGTTATCTTTGATTATCTGCCTATTCTCATTTCTAATTGTATAATTTTTTTGCATCACAATTATTTATTTATTTATTTTTTGCTTTACGATTCTTAATACACCATTATTCAATAATTTATCATATCTCTGATTATATATAAGGTATGTTGACACCAAATTCACATCTTCATACATGTATTTTGTATAATGATGAGGGTCTCCTTTCACCATCCATGCTATTCCCCTTCTCCCTCCCTTTCCCTCCCACCCCTATTCCCTATCTAGAGATCTAATTGTATAATTTTAAGGTGGACAAATAATAAAGCCAAATGACTGGAGCCATATTACCTCTATTAAAATTAAGTGACATGTCATCTACCTGAAATTATGTCATAAGCAAACAATTTCCATCAATTTGGAAGATGTGTTTGAGATGGTTTTAACTAAAATACAGGCTATATATAACACCCACAAAAATAATTTACACAGCACTTTAAAGACATCAGGCATAAAGAAAAGAAACAAACGAAAGAAAAAAAAAGAATAGGCCCCCAAGGCTAAGAAATGCAGGAACTGACTTTTGCAAATTAGAAGCTTTCAATGTGGCATCTACATACACTGTGTTTAGAGTGGCTGCAAGATTTTCATTCTTAAAGTACAGTCGGTATTTCCCACAGGAAAAATATGATAGATTAGACTGAGTTCCACAGTCATGTAAAGCGCATAAAACATTTCTTAAATTCCTTAAAAATTACCTTCTCCTGTCTTTTTTCAAAAGAGGATTTAACTTCATCAGGATCTTTCTTTACATTTAACACATCTGTATCTTCAGTTTCTTTATCATCTGGCAAAGCAAAGGTCACTCTTTTTGAGCCTTTATGCTGTTCACTATCTTCACTTTCTTCAAGGTCATTATCCTCATCCCTGTAATACCAAAATGTGTATCAAAGGAAAAACAACTTTTCACTAGAAAACAAATTCAATTTTCCTCTATTGAAGTTCTTTTGTATCTCTAATGTCCCAAATATATTCAGAACTTCCAAAGTCATTAAATTATTTAAAAACAACAGAAGGAATTATTTAGGTAAAATGCTATGTAAGAAATAGAACAAAGGGGCCCAATATGTGCAAATAAATTATTCATCAATCTATAATACAAAGTTCTTATTTCACAGAAAGAACCTCAAGGATTACTAGCACAAAACCCATATCAGGGCTGGGATTGTAGCTCAGTGGTAGAGCACTTGCTCAGCACATGTGAGGTACTGGGTTCAAGCCTCAGAACCACATAAAAAATAAGTAAATAAAATAAAGGTATAAAAACAGATTACCATCTTTAAAAACAAACCAAAACTCAAAAAAAAAAAAAAGCTCCTTTCTTGTAACAAAGGTTTGACTGTTACTGCCAGAAATATTTTTCTTCATTAACTCTAATGTTCTTTCAAGCTATATGAGATAATCTGAAATCAGAGAATCTACTATTTGAGAATTTAACTGCTTAAGACAAACATAGCTGACAATTATGAGCATACATACATTTCCAGTTTATAATGTAAAGGATTATTTAAAATACTCACGTTTCAGAAATGCTTTCTTCTGCTTCTTCTTCAGCAATTTCTTCCTCTTCTTTGTTTGAATCCAGCCCATCATCACCACTTACCATGTCTTCATCACTTTCAACTGGATCAAAAAAATCTTTGTATTTCAGATTTCTTGAACTTTTATCTGACTAAACAAGAAGATTTTAAAAACATTTAATGGAAGATAGAAAAATACATAAAAAATGCATGTGTATATATGTACTACACACACACACACACACACACACACACAAACACACACACCTTTCCTACTTTAACACTCGTAGCCAAAATAATTAGGGGAAACTCGTAACTAGTAACATTGTTATAAAACCACAAGAACTGGAATGTTACAAACTAAATGGAAGTACAGATCCATTTGTAGATATGTACATAGGCATTTATATATATATATATATATATTGCTTGACTACTTCAACATTACCAGTCAAAAAATAATTACAGGAAACTAGTAATCAATAACACTACCACAAAATCATTAAGAACTGAGATATAATAAACTGGATGTAAGTACAGTATTTATTTATTTATTGGACACAATACTTTTATTTATTTTTATGTGGTTCTGAGGATAGAACCCAGTGCCTCACAAGTGCTAGGCAAGCACTCTGTCACTGAGCTACACACCCAGCCTGTATAGTCTTATTTATAATTGACAAAACAAGAACCCACTATTCCTATCTCTAAATCTTTTAACTATAATTATTTCCAAAACACCCCTGCCTACATAAGTATTAAATATTTTCATTCCCAATTATTTTTTATGTTTGTTGAAAATATGTTTGAGGGAAACCTATGAATACCTCTAATGTGTGATTATGATTCTTAAACTATCTATCAAGAGAATTATTTTGTGACAAGGAAATGATAGCTTCAGTTTAATTTCACCAATTTTTTTTCAATTGATCTAATACTTCATATGTGTCCTGATGAATTCTGAAGTGCTTAAAATCTCTCTTAGAAAACAGAATAAAATCTTAATTGAGGAGGAAGAAAGTACTCTCTTCTCCTCTTCCATAATTTTACCTTAAGTTTTTGATTTCTAAACAATTCTTCCTCATCTTCTTCATCAGAATCAATATCTTCAAAAAAGTCAATATCTTCTTTCTCCTCCTCTTCATCTTTTTTTTGTTCTTCTTTTTCTATGTTCTCCAAAAAGGTCTCCATTTCAGATAGTTTAAAGAATTTGTCATCTACTATAGACTTTTCCCTTGACTTCTCTGGCAGTTTATTTTGCACCTTACTCTGCTGTTCCAATTTGCTAATATCAAAGTCAAGATCAGAATCCTCATCACTGAAAACTGAGCTTTTCCTCTGATCAAATTTGCTTGAGTTTTTAGGCTTTTCACCAGCTTTAGGATCATTATCACCCAAATCTGACACTTTCTCCTCCTCTTCCAAATCTTCTAGGTTCTCCTGGTTATCAGCCTCCATCTCTGAGCCATTCTCTTCACAATCCTGCTCTTTATTCTTTGGAAGAAGAGTGATGTCTTCATTTTTAATTGTTTCACTAACTTCCTTCTGGAAGTATTGTAAAACTGGTTCATTTTGCAATTCCAGTTGTTGCCAAATTTGCTCATCATCAAAATTGTTTATCACAAGTTTTTGTAAAGGACTTCCAAGAATCCTACCATTCTCTAGTATTTTATTGAAGTCATAAAGAACTTTTGTTAAAGAAGTAAAGTTTGATGCTAATCCATCTTGAATCCTATTGGGGGAGGAGATCAAAAGACATATAAAACTTATAGGTAGTAATTTCACAGACCTCTGAATTAAAAGAAAAATAAGATTCAACTCAAGTGCAAAAAAAATCAAACACAAACGATGAATTTTAAGTATAGATTCTGAGCCAGGCACAGGAGCATATGCCTGTAATCACAGCAGCTCAGGAAGATGAGGCAGGAGGATCACAAATTCAAAGCCAGTCTCAGCAACATACAGAGGCCCTAAGCAATCTAGGAGTTGTTAGGCCATGGAATCATAAACTGATATATGGGAAGAAATAATCTATACTCCCTTTTCTTCCCATACAGAATTTGCAGGCTGCCGGCAACCCACGCCCACGTGAGAACTAGTCTCCGAGCCCGGGATACGTGCACTTACGTGAGAAAGCGTTCGGGTTGGCTGGTGGCTTTACCGACCTCTCTCAGACACCGCTCCAGGGTCCGCCGACGCCAGACCCGAGGAGCCATCGCCGTCAGCTACTCCAGATACAGCACCTCATGCAAGGGAAGAGAGCCGATCCGGAAGAGAGCTAAAACGGAAATTCCGCGGCAAAAAGTTGCCTAGCGTAACCCGCAACTCACAGCCGAAGGTTCCGTCGTGCATAGGTTCCGGACCCACCTCAATCGGAGCCAATGATAGCGTGAGAACTTTCACTGGGCTTGCGTAGTGGGGCGGGGCAGGAGACAGAAAATAGCTACTGGTCAGTCCAGAAATCGTTGAATTTCCTCCAAACTTTATGTTTGGGTTTCCTGAGGGGCCTACAACTGGTGACGCGTGGTCTTTTACGTTTCTTCTTTGGATACAGTAGGTGGCGAGTTTTAGAGCCCGGTGAGAGTCAAATTGTGCAAGGTAACAGGAACGCCGTTACCAGAAGGGCGGGTCTCTCCCATCATCCCTAGGAATCCAAACACGCTCGCCACGCCCCCTGGCCGCCTTTCCCCGCCCCTTAGGTCTCTAGCCAGTCACCTCGCCACGTGGCGCCGCCCCTCGCGCTCTTTCCTCGTCGGCTCTGCAGCCAGTCGGGACCTAGCAGGTAGCTTCCCAAGATGGCGCGTGTGTTGACGGCAGTGGCGGGGGCTGCCATGGCGGGGGCTGCGTTGGCCGTAGGTGAATACCGGCACCGTTGGGATCACCGTGGGGCGGGACGGGGCGGTGTGCGCCGAACCGGAGGCCCGGGGCGGAGGAGACCACCGGTGGCCAACCACCTGGGTCTAAAGCGTCCTGCCCTACGGAGCCGCCTTTCGCAGCTTCTTCAGCACCTTAGCCAGCAGTCACTTAAAAGCAGGGGGAGCGGGGCGGGGGCGGGGGTGGGGGTGGGTGTCTTAGTGTGCCACCCTGTGAGCTGTGTGTGGGACCTGCCAGGCAGGGACAGATGAAAAGGAAAGAAGTAAATGGAGGAGAATCTGAGTGTTCACCATAAGACATTGGGGAAAATATAGAAAAGAGGGCAAGTCCTGTGGACTTAAGCTGAATTCAAGCATGGAACCCCTGCAGGAACAACTGAAAGTCAGTGGGGTAAAGAATACCAAAGAAATATCTTACTCACGTGCCCTAGTGTATTTATCTTCTTCTATATAAACAGAGAAGTATTTTGAAACTCCTCAAGGTCGCTCCACCTCCACTTTTTTTTCTTTATGTCTACATGGAATCTGTGATGACTAGTGGTCAAGTTTTCTGAGTTTCCCACTTTCTCCTCCTTTTTCTTCTCTTTCTCTCTTTACAAACAGAAGCATTCCCCCACCCCCATCTGAGATTTCCTATTTGATAACAACGTGATAATTACCAGACTTACTCCTGAACATAGTTTTGGCAAATCCTTCAGCCAGCACCTTCAAAAGTGTTCAAGGAAATAGTGGTTTTGGTTTTGGTTTTTAATTTTTTTAGTTGTAAATGGACACAATCTATTTACTTTTGTGTAGTGCTGAGGATAGAACCCAGTGTCTCAGCTTACAGGCAAGCGCTCCACCACTGAGCTGCAGCCCTAGCCCAGGGAATAAAGTTTTGTTAGGTTTCTCTCCTAAAAAGTGTCCTCTGTAGTCAGCCTATTGAAACCTGAAGTCCTAGCCATCCATTGAAGTCCATCTCAAACTGGATCAGTTCTTTATTGATCACTCAAGCCTTTCTCATTAGTCACAGAATTTCTTAATTATCTAACATATCCAAGGTTAAATGATGAGCATCCATATGCAAAGAAAAAGTGTACTTAGTAGGTTTAGCTGTCTCAACTTAAATCAGTTTTAAAAAGTGAAATATATGTATACACATGAAAAAATACTGAGCACAGTTAAAATGAATATCTAGTTAACATAATATTCAGATTTTGTTATCAAATTAACACTATTGGCCTTTATATCCTTGGCAAAATACAGGTCAGCATTTTAGCTCACATACCATTGCACATAACTCTTTGTAAAAAAACTCATAAAACAAAAAACTTTCTTGTTATTTCTTAGCAAGACATCTCTTAGGTAATTGCATAAGCCAAAGACATTGAAAACTGAGAATTGAAAGAATGGTAAAGAATTTTAGAGGTATGAGAGTTAAACATAATCCATTTAATGACATCAACTTCAATGTTTAACAGACCAGGGCTAGTGGCCCCACTTTGCAATTTATTGTGATATTGAGGAAAATCACTTGTGATCTGTTTAGCCTATTTCCTTATTTCTAAAAAGATGAGGAAAATAATATTATCTAATCCATAGAATTTTTGTGAGGATTAAATAAAATAACATTCTCACTTCATTATTCTTTGTGACCATTATTTCAATGGCTACAAACACTAATAGGATGAGTCAGGCTACCACATGGTACACTCCCAAATCAGTATTTGTAATTTCAGTTTGGTTAGGCAGGATTACAGATTTAGACAATACTACATAGGAACATTGATGCATAAATCTTTAACAATGAAATAAGCTCACAGGTCTATACTGGAAAGGTCAGGTAAAATCAGCCAGATTTTACCCCAGGGGATTCTGTACTTCACTATTAATAAATCACAGCTGTTAACAAAATATAGAAAATACCTAGAGATGATTTGGAACATACTAGCTTTGGGGATAATAGCCAGCTTATAGGTTCTTATAAAGGCATAATATGTAGTTTCTATTTGTTTATGATATTAAAAGAAGTTTCCAAAAATTACCAGTCATGATCAGTGTATGTTGGAGAGTTATCATTAGCAACTAATTTTAACTCAGCAAAATGGTAAATCTGTATTTCTACACTAAAAATTAAACAGAATACTATGCTTCTAATACCTCCCAACAGCAAAACTACAACATGATATCAATCACTAAATACTCAATTACTACCAACAATGTTCTCAAATTGTAGCCCACACAATTTTCTAGAGAGAAAGGAGGTGAGTGGTCTCCTTATCATGAAAAATAGTAAACTGCATTAATGAATGAATTAGTGAATACAAAAGCACTGTGTATACAAGTTATTTTAGCTATTGAATGAGATTATAGCAGAAGGGCAATACTGTGACTGAGGTAGTACAGAGTTAACTTTCATGGGATCCTTTAAAAGCATAAAGTACATTAGTAGTCAGAGATGCTTACATTTGTAAGCAAGTTGTTGATGTAACCTTTCTAAAGGTGCCAGTAATGGTAACTCTTGGTATTTATTATTTACTTTGTGCTGGGCTCTTTTTTCAATTCTTTATATATATTTACCATTTAGTTTTATGACATTCCCTATGAGATAGATACTGTTTTCATTTTATATATGCAGAAATACTGGTATAGAGTGGTTGAGTAACTAGCTCAGTAACACAACTGAATGGTAAGGTCAAGGTTTGAATTAGAACATTCTAGCACTAGAGCCCATATTCCTAACCATAAGGCACACTACTGCCTCTTACATAATAATACTTGAACCTAAAATCTAAATTTGAAAATGAAAATTATGTGAAGGTTGCACAACTTTGCAAATATTCTAAAAACTACTGAATTTACACCTCAAATTGGTGAACTTCATGATATGTAAATTATAAATCTGTTTTCTAAATATAACTGTTGAGATAAAGCTGTTGAAAAACTTATTACAAGTGATTAGTCACAATTTTATGACACTTTATATACAAAGTTAACATCTAATTTGTTCAAATACTAAGTACCCATAATGAATTTCAGTATAAACTCTTGAAGGTAAACCTTTATTTATTTGGAAACTGTCTGGAAAACCTAATCTGAAATGCTAAATCTGAACTGAAAGAAAGGCATGTTATTTTTAAGTCAAAACAGTAGAAGTTATTAGTAAGAACATGATTAATGAGAACTGATACACAGGAAGGTAAGAATTAAGAGTTAACATACTAGATTTTGTAGTAATATATATATACACATAACTCATATACCACATTTCTGATGTGTGTGAAAGTAAGTTGTTTTAAAATAATTATTCATCTTTACACTCTTGGTTTTTAATCCTCCTATTTTCAAGTATTTTACATGTTTATTCACACATAGTTACACTTTGTAGTTTATTTTTATAAAAAAAACCCTTATTGGAATAATTACAAATGACCCACTGTGGAGTTCAAAGCAATACAATTGTACTGCACCCTTCTGAGCTCAGAGACAGAAATCTAATTCTAGAGTTGAGAGTTCCTACCAGTTGGGTGAAAATATGAAATAATATGTTTTTAAAAAGTTAGTTTGATGGGTTGGTAAGTGCTCACCTACCATGCATGAGGTACTGGGTTCGATCACCAGCACCACATAAAAATAAAATAAAGATATTATGTCTACCTATAACTAAAAAATAAATATTTTTTAAAAAAAGTTAGTTTGAGGGGCTGGGATTATGGCTCAGTGGTAGAGTCCTTGCCTAGGATGTGCAAGGCCCTGGGTTTGATCCTCAGCACACATAAAAATAAAATAAAGATAGTGTCCAACTACAACTAAAAAATAAATATTTGAAAAAAATTAGTTTGTGAAAATCATTTCACATTACATACATATTAAAAAACTTTCAGTACATGCAATTTCAATTTGTCCATCATATCTCAGTAACACTGGAAAAAATATATATATATATGTGTGTGTGTGTATGTATTGTCACTAACTAATCAATAATCACTAATGTATATAATACACACACATATATTATTTAAAAGCCTTTGTTCCCTGTTCCTTACCGAGTTTGCTTGGTCTACAGAGTTTTACCACAGATTTTTACTGCTAGGATTGTTATCATTCCTCCTCATTTTCATCTTCCTCTTCCACATCAAGGTAAAGTTCACATAACATAAAATTAACCATTAAAAAATATACAGTTACTAACAAACACAAGACTCTGGGTTAGATCCTTGGCCCTGGGGAGAAATAAAAATGTACAATTTAACAGTATTTATTACACTTGCAATGTTGTGCAGCTGTTACCTTTATCCAGTTCCAAAACATTTTTGTCACCCCAAAAATAAACCCATTCATATTAAGCAGTTGTTTCTGTTCCCTCCTCCTTCCAGCCTCTGGCAACCATTGTTTTGCCTTCTGTCACTATAGATTTACCTATTCTAGATATTATATATAATTAGGATCATACATCATGTGACCTTTTATGCCAGCTTTCTATCACTAATATTAGTTACATATTACATATATATTATACATTCATCCACATTGTAGCATGTATGAATACTTTACATCCAGATGATACTTCCTTATGTAGATATGAATAATATTTCATTGTTTGTCTATTGGGAATGCTGCTACTGTGATTGTTAGTGTACAAGATTTCAAATTCCTGTTTGCAGCTATTTGGGGTACTTAGGTGTGGAATTCCTGGGTCATATGATAATTTGTTTAATTTTCTAAGGAACTGACAAACCATCCCTTTACAGCTGCACCATTTTACATTTTTATCAACAAAATACAAGGGTTCCAGTTTCTCTACATACTCATCAACACTTGCTTATTTTGTTTTTCTTGGTGGCTGTGAAGTAGTATCTCATCATGGATTTGATTGGCTTTTCTTTAATCACTAATATTATTGAATATCTGATATGTTTGTTGGCCATTT